TAACCAGTAGTTGCAGAGCCAGTAGCTCCATAACCAGTAGTTGCAGAACCAGTAGCTCCGTAACCAGTAGTTGCAGAACCAGTGTTGTTATTATATGTAGAACCATGGGTTACATAACGAGCATTGTCATAATATGGTTGACTCAATTGGCTAGATGTTGAGTTTGTATTACCAGTCAAATGAGTAGTGGCACTTTGAGCTAGAAGATATAAATAAAACTAATTACAAATGGCTCACGTATCTCTGCTGTCGAAACAAGTATATTCTGTTTCTGGTGTTTGTAGACAGTATTAATCGTATCTTATTAAAACAGATCGATTCGGTGAAAGTCAAGTTGAAACATTCCTCATGAATTTGATTGTATAATTATCCTAAAGTTATGATGTTAATTTTCAATATATTACAGTTACATATTTTTGCTCAAAACTGGAATTAAGTATCTATTAAAGACTATGTTAGAATTAATGTAAAATCAACTTACGATTTATAGTACCAGTTATAGTTGGTTGACTTCCAGTATACGCCGGCATTGTTGGTGCTGAACTGCTTGAATAATGACGTTGTGACATCTTGTATGTGTGAAATAATATACCAAGTTAAAAAAATATAAATATCTACAAAAAAAAATACTAATTTTAAACTAATTGAATATTTTAGTTTTTATATATAGTTTTTGAGCATTTAATCGCTTGGAATGTGTCGTCTCTTATCATTACATAGTTCATAATCAAATACTGATAAACAAAAGCTCAATTAAATGTATTAGTTCACCTACTTTTCTTAGCAAAATAATCATGATTCGTAGAAGAACAAATTTTGTTTCACATATCAAATTATCATTTGATTCTTAAATATACAACTGATCAATATTCGATGTGCAATATATACAAGACTGTAATGTGTGTAACTATAAGGGAAAAAACCAAAAAAAACAAAACCGATGAAGCATTTTTGTAAAGGAAGTAACATCAACGTATGCGATAATATACCGTCATGTAATCATATATCGAAAACATGTGAAAAAATGCAATGACGTTATATAGTAACGCTTGATTGATTATCATTAATTGTATAGAGAAACGTAAAAAAAATTACATGAAAATGAAAAGATTTTCAATAAGACTGTTGGACTAAACTATCGATTCAAATAATAGGCATTATCTTGGATGGTTCGAGAATAAATAAATAACAAGAACATGCTTTACAGATAAGAAATATGACTCATTCTATCTCATATAAAAACAAACCATTTTCAACAGAATATTTCTTTCAGTGTAGTGCAACAACATGTGGAGATTATTTATACTTTTTTTACTATGCCTGTTCTCGAATAGCCTTGGAGAAACTTTGAACGTCAACGTTCGATTCTGCCAATTACATAATTTACCAGATACTCAATATTGGCAATACATCCGAGACGATCATACGATTCGCCCTGTGCATAAACAACTATGTCTTACGACTCATCCGAATCAATCATCCTTTATTTCACTCACTGAATGTGAGACTGGTCTAAATTTCTATCAAGTATGGAGCTTGAATCCTCAAGATGGAAAAATCACTGCTCTCAACGAAAAGTGTCTCGGTGTATATCCAAAGACGTTTCTAACATACTCTGTCGAGTTAAGACCATGTACTAATACAAACAATCAACATTGGATTTGGAGAAATATAAGCGGTGGAATTCTAGAGATCAAACAGCCATGGAAACGATGTTTGACTGTGATGAGTTAATAATCTATTTTGCATACAATAATTACATCATTTTTCTAAATTTCAATAAAATATCGGTCTTCTCCCTTTTTGATTTACATCCATTCTTAATGGAAGATTAAATCATTTACATACTTTATCTCCTAACCGTTTACTAAAATTTTAAGTAAATGACAAAGGTCTTCTTCAAAGTTTGTATTAATATCATCAATAATAACATGAGTCAGTTAAAAGAGAAATTATTTCAATCGTCTGTTGTAGCCGTTCTTTTTCTTTTCTTTCTTTTTCCATTATATTTATTACTTAATCAAGAATGAAAGCGTTCATTCCCATGACAATTTTCAGCTTGATGATTAGAAATAAATAAAAAAACATACACTACTCATCTAGAATTTAATTATCTACATTGTATATAACAGTTGAAATATGACCAAGGAAACGATCGATCATCTAGCAACTATTTTTCCAATAAATCGTGACGCATTGAAATCCAAATCAAAACATCAACGAAGTGTATCAATTCTTAAAGAATTCAGTTTAAATACATCAGCACATGGTATACCAAGTATTGTTCGTAGTCATGGTATTCAGAATCGTTTATTTTAGATTATATCATCATATTTTCAATATCCAACGCTAACATCTGTATCGTTTGTTACTGAATAGCCTCAAGCTTTTCCAACAGTTACTATTTGTAATTATTCTCCAATACGATATGATCGATTTATTATTCCTTTTTTAAATTATACAAATATGCTTAATTTAACAAATACAAATTCTTTTACAATGGAATTATCTTCATATATTCATGATTTTTTACTTTATAAAATAAATCGAAATGAATCTTTAAATGATTTTTTTTATTCACTTGATTCAATGATAATGTCTTGTGTTTACAATAGAATAACATGTACAACAGCTAATTTCACTTGGTTTTTATCACCAGTCTACGGTCTTTGTTATACATTCAATGCTCTATTGAGAAATATTGGTATTGCTGGTTTAAAATATAATTCTGATAATGGAGTCAATGGTTTACTTGACTTACGTCTTTATGCACATCAATTCATATCCTACTTTGTGACTTTAAAAATCCATGTTATGTTGAAGCAGCAACAGAAATTATGAATACAAACAGTATTTGGACTACTTATTGTCCTGATTGTACACAAGAATGTATATTTTCTGATTTCATAATTAAATCAACATCACTCTTAGCACCACCTGAATTCTTAATGAATGATATTCAATCTAGTTTTATTTCTTTAGAAGTTGCCTATGAAACAACACGAACAGAAATTTATTCACAACAAGCAACGATTACTGTAGTTGATGTTATTTCGAACATTGGCGGAAATACAGGACTCTGGATTCGGATTAATTTTCTTTCGTTAATGGAAATTGTTGAAATGATCTATCGACTTGTACGTTCTCGATTTAAAAATGAGAGTAGAGAAAAAATCTACCATTGAAATTGATGCATTTATATGACAACACATGTCTAACGAAAGATAATGATCTGGGCTGTATTCTGTTTTATCAAAACAAAAAGAACAAAAAAAAAAGATAACATCTTTTTGTGAAATTATTTTCTTTATACATTGTAATTTCGTGAGACAATGATAGTTTCGATATTTTTTTACTTGTTATTTTTCATCGGATTTTCTGATGAATTGAACAATGGACTTGGTAGAACACCGCAAGTGGGTATGATATTTTAATTGAAATAGACGATTATAAATAATGTCGATATTTTATTTATTATTGAAGGATGGAATAGTTGGTATGGTTTTCGCTGTGGTGTCAATGAAACTGTAGTTCGACAAACAGCAGATGCTCTCATAGCTACAGGTCTTGCTGCAGCTGGATATCAATATGGTTTGTTTTGTTTTTGTATTCAAATTATTTTCTTAATATCTTTAATAGTGAATTTGGACGGTTGTTGGCAAGGAAGCCGAGATGCCGAAGGAATTATTCATTCTGATCCAGAAACTTTTCCAACTGGTATTCCAGCTCTTGTTGATTATGTTCATTCAAGAAAACTCAAGTTTGGCATCTATTCAGGTATATAAACTAAAATTTTCTTGTTTATCTATTTATCTAAATATTAGATAGAGGAAATATGACTTGTGATGGTAGACCTGGTTCATTGGGCTATGAAACAATAGATGCTAATACGTATGCTCTTTGGGGTGTAGACTATTTAAAGCTTGATAGTTGTTTTACAAATGGAACTCCTCCAGCAGTAGAATATGCAATTATGCGTGATGCATTAAATGCTACTGGAAGACCAATTTTCTATTCTTTATGTGGTATGAATACAAACTATATTAATATTCTTTAGTAAAGTGTCTTATGTCTATTGTAACAAAAGGTGGTGTTACAAAATATGATCTTTGGTTACCTGATGTTGGAAATAGTTGGCGAACAGCAGACGATAGTCAAAATAATTGGCCTGCAATCATGGCGAATATTGATCAAGTCAGATTATGGTATAGATTTTATATTGTAATATATTTTCATTTTTTTTCTAGAATAATGATTTTACTCAACAAGCAGGACCAGGTGGTTGGAGTGATCCTGATAGTAAATAGTTCTTTTTAATGTTGCTGATCGATTTCTCTTAATTTATATTTAGTGCTTCAAATTGGTAATGGTGGCATGACTGATATTGAATATAGGACACATTTTTCTCTTTGGTCTATAACTAAAGCACCTTTAATTATTGGATGTGATATTCGAAATCTAAGTGCAACAAGTCTATCAATTTTGTCTAATTCAGAAGTTATTGCTGTTAATCAAGATCCATTAGGTATTCAAGGGAAGAAAGTAGCTTTTGCATCATCACAATCATTAAATGCTTCAAGTGAAGTTATTGTTGCTAACTGTTCATTATCAACTATTGATCCGAAACGTCGTCAATGGGTATATAATTCTCAAGATGGAAGCTTTCGATCAGTATTTAATGGACGATGTTTATCAATTGCTCAATGTAGTACAAGAAGAGAAACATATGCTGTACTGAATGATTGTCAAGTTGGTGATCCACAAGCACAATGTCAAGGTAAAAATCAACAATGGATAGTTAATCCATCAAATCGGACTATTGTTTCACAAATGACTGGTTATTGGTAAGTTGAAAATAATATTTTTTAAAATACACACAAAAATTAATTGATTAGTATGGAAGTACATAATTCGTATGGTCCAAATGTGTATGCACTTTTATGTAATGGTCGACAAAATCAAAAATGGGTATGGAATTCAACAGATGGAACAATAAAAAGTGAATCGAGTAATCAATGTTTAACAGTTCCATTAGAACTTGAAATATGGGCTGGTCCACTTTCAGACGGTTCACAAGCTGTCGTTTTATTCAATCGAGGTGATAGTAACAATGAACGTATTACTGTAAAATGGAGTGATATTGGTTTTCCTGTTAATAATTCAGCAACTGTTCGAGATTTATGGACGCATCAAAATCTTGGGATATTTACAGGCAATTATACATCACCAGATATAGTTTCTCATGGAGCTATGATGCTAAATATTATTCCTACGAAATAGAACAAAATATTCTTATACTTCTTCTATTCAAAGATTTTTAATATGTTCGAACAAATAAATTATTGACATTTTTTTAGATGAATCAAAGACTTATCGCATTTGAATAATTACTTTTGGTCATTCATTAAATAGTTACACACAGGGTTTAGTTTTCTTAGTAAAAAAATTAGGCTACGTCACATACATGTAAACGTATTAAAATTCATATGATCCTCTGCGTTTTTGCCAATTATAAATTATAATTAAGATAAAGTTTCTCTTATACTTCATTATTAGACATATGCCAACTATATTCAAATTATTAATTATAGTTGAGTTCAAGTTTATATGTTGCTTTTGTAAATTGAGTACTTGTATGGTTTTGAAAGGTCTCATTTGTACTCGAATTCGTATTGCGACGCTACTCATTTTTGTTATACTTATTATAAACTCAAAATTCTTACTAACAACTAATAAATTCATGAAAAAATTGAATATATATGATTACATTCTCTAGATAATGAAACTAAAGACAAACCGAATATTTTCTTGCACAATAAAAGAAGAAATCATAGAGGTCAGCACGATAATTATTTGCTTATTAATTTTAAATTAAACATTTTGTTTAAATATCCGACGAACGCCTGTTGATTTATTTATATAATTTTTTGGAAGCTCTTCTATAGCTTCATATTACAGTATCATCCATTCTTATATCTTTTCTTTCTCTTCTCTGATGTTGTTCAAGGAAATGTCCTCATCATTTACGTTTTTTTTCTGGTTCGGTTACTATATATGTTGTGACTGTTTGGTACATATTACTTGAAGTATCTGGAGTGACACTTCATAAGAGTATCGACAATTAGTTTGAAAATAAATTGAAGTTTCATATGAAGAAATCAAACGTTACAGAAGTTTCAAAAAAAAAAATAAAAAAAAAGATGTTCTCGTAAGGTAAAGTATATCGACGTTTGAGAACGAGCGTTGCAAGGTTTATAGGAATCATCTATCCCAAAAACACATTTCTTACTTTACTAAGTGATTCGTTAATTCATTCATTTCATATCTTTCTGATTCCGATCGACGACAACACATATTTGTTCTATATTATGTCTTCTGTTGCTGCTTCTCTCGCTACTGTACAACAAGTTACTATTCGCTATACATATCCTATCATATTGGTACTGGGTAACATCGGTAATCTGGCTGTCATTGCCGTCTTCTCTCAAAAGCATAATCGACGCAGTTCTTGTTCATTGTATCTGCTTGCTGCCGCCGTTTTCAGTATCATAGGCATCAATTGGGCACTCATCAGTAACACATATGCTATCTATCAACCACCAGATCCATTCATCAAGTCGGTCGCCCTTTGTCGTATTCGAGGTTTTATCCTACAAGTTACGTCGGTTCTCTACAAAACTATGGTTTTATTTGGATGTATCGATCGTTTTGCATTGAGTTCAACTAAATCCACTGTTCGTGAATTTAGCAAACCGAAAATAGCATTGAAGATGATCGGAGGTGCTACTATTTTTTGGATGCTCATGTCAATGCACATGCTCTTTTTTCTAAGTACCGACAACAATCGATGTGGTGGTACTTATGGAGTGTATGGTCTCTTTTTTGGTATCTATGTAATCTGTGTTTTTGGATTGATTCTACCAATTCTCACACTTATTTTCGGCATTCTCATTTTGAAGAACTTGAAAACGGTTCGTTCTCGTGTTCATCCAATTGCTGGGACTAACAATGTGCCACAGCATGTTTTATCCAAGCGAGATGTGAAATTGGTCAAACTTGTCTTACGAGGGAACATCCCCAACTGTCCCCCTCCGATTTCAATGGAACTTTGTCTGAAGATACGATATGATACCCTAATAAAAACCCTACAAGGATTTGAGTTGATATTCATTCCTTCAAAGGTTATGGTCATTTTACTAGATTTTCGACCTGGTCCCGGGTATAAATCGGGAAAACCTAACTAACGAGTTTCGACGTGAAATTTCGCCCATAGATAGATATAATGATCCTAAGAATGTCCTGAAAGTTTCAGCCAAAAAGAATCTTCCGTTATCGAGATATCGAATTTTTAAAATATATTCGCTTGCCGCAGATTGATCATAAACCCGAGTCCGCTTGAAAATTCGATATCTCGATAACGGAAGATTCTTTTTGGCTGAAACTTTCAGGACATTCTTAGGATCATTATATCTATCTATGGGCGAAATTTCACGTCGAAACTCGTTAGTTAGGTTTTCCCGATTTATACCCGGGACCAGGTCGAAAATCTAGTAAAATGACCATAACCTTTGAAGGAATGAATATCAACTCAAATCCTTGTAGGGTTTTTATTAGGGTATCATATCGTATCTTCAGACAAAGTTTCATTGAAATCGGAGGGGGACAGTTGGGGATGTTCCCTCGTTAGCTGAAGTTTTTGTCGGCTTCTTTCTTACCATTCTATTTCCAATCAATCAGCTATACACCGTATTAGCAAATTATGTGCCCAATAAGAGCCAAGATCGCATCCAAATCGAAGGTTTCATGTCTTTTATCTCACTCATTTTCTTATTCTATCTAAATTATTGCCTTACTTTCTACTTGTATGTCGCCGTATCTAAACCATTTCGTCAGGAAATCAAACGTCTCCTCTTGAAGTGTTTCAATAAAACACAGCGTCAACAAACGAACACTGCTACGGGCCTTATATTACAGAAACAAAGAACCACAAACATCGTAGCGTAGATATTTTTAGCTACTCTATTTGATGTTGTAAAAGCTTTTGTCTATGATTAAATTGTGGGTGTATGAAATATTCATCAAAATCTTAATAATAACATCATGATCAGTCACTTCTTGATCATCATCAATGCTTGTTGTTCAATATCTAGAGATTTCTCTTGTCGAATAAAAATAAGACCATAAAGGTAAAGACAAGAAGAACTAAATACAACATTTGATTGATAATAGTTTTTAAAGATCGACATTACTCGAATAAAATCTCACTAATATTGTTTAGACTAAGAGCAATATTAAAATGAAATTGATCATAAATACCGATTGTATTTAGTTTTCATGAGAAACTACTTATATTCATTTTTTTTGGAATAATATGTAAAAATCGAATTAATTGAATGAACAAGTCCTATTTGAGATTGTATTTCATTAACGTATCAACTGGATATAATTTTTAAAAAAATTCTTTTTTCATTGATTCTTGAAGGTATGGGTGTGAGTGTGTCTTTCTTAAGGAGACTCTCTTAAGACTATTTTCTGTATGAGCAATATATACAAAATGAAGTGTTTAATAGAATTTATTTATTAGTGATAAATGATATATAATGAAAAGCAATTGTAAAGGAGATCAAACTAGTAAACTAATCACTTCTTGGTTAATAGTTGGTACTTCTCATCAGTTTCCACTACTGCTGAGCGTGCGAAGGTTGAATGTGACTGTGATTGTGGGTGTAGATACTGATGTGGGTCTTCATACCCACATTCAATCACATCCTCACTCATGCCCCAGACTACTCCTTTCGTTAAAACATAGGATCAGTTTGCTGTACATTGATTCATACAAAAAAAAAAACAGTACAAGAAGCTGAAAGCAAAAGCATGAATGAGTTTGAGTAAAAGATTGATAATGAAAATGTTTTATAAAAGGTTTTGGTATCGAACGAACATAGCTATTCATTCCATACTATTAAGTAGTTAATCATAGAATAATGTTCTCTGATAGATTGCTGAAATGTCAATAAGTATGTTGAGTATGATGGAGAAATAAATCTTAACAGTGTAGGAGAACACTGATGGTGTGTGAGACGGAATTTGCAGTGATAATATCAGGTTTATTATCACTGTTTACATCGGCTACTGCTACTGATACTGGAGCTCCACCAACTGCATAAGTAGTATGAGGAGAAAAAGTGGCGTTGCCATGGTTAAGAAGAACACTGACGGTATTTGCATTCATATTTGCAGTGACAATATCGAGTTCATTGTCACTATTTACATCAGCTACTGCTACTAACAATGGACCTGCACCAACTGTGAAAGTAAGTTGAAGAGGAAAAGTGCCGTTGCCTTTGTTGAGAAGAACACTGACGGTATTCGAAGCTGAATTTGCACTGACAATATCGGGTTTGTTGTCGTTGTTCAAATCGACTACTGCGATTGACTGTGGACCTCCACCAACTAAGTAGCCTGTTAAAGAAAAAGTGCCGTTGCCTTTGTTGAGAAGAACACTGACGGTGTTTGAAGACGCATATGCAGTAACAATATCGGGTTTATTGTCGCTGTTCACATCGGCTACAACTGCTGCATACGATCCAGAACCAACTACGTAATTAGTTTGAGTAGAAAAAGTGCCGTTGCCGATGTTAAAAAGAACACTGATGAAGACTGCACCTTGATTTGCAACGACAATATCAGGTTGGTTGTCGCTGTTCAGATCAACCACTGTTACTGACCGTGGCATGACACCAACTGGGTAGTTAGTTCGAGAAGAAAATGTGCCGTTGCCTATGTTCAGAAGAACACTGACAGTGTTTGAACCCCAATTTGCGATGACAATATCGGATTTATTGTCGCTATTAACATCGACTACTTCTACTGATACTGGAGCTCCACCAACTGAGTAAGTAACTTGAGAAGAAAAAGTGCCGTTGCCGATGTTAAAAAGAACACTGGTGGTGTTTGACTTGTGGTTTGCAACGACAATATCGGGTTTGTTATCGTCGTTCACATCAACTACTACTACTGCATGCGGCATTAAACCAACTGAGTAAGTGGTTTGATTACGAAATGTACTATTACAAGCTGTTAAGTAAGAAAAAAAAATTAGTTTATAGTTTTTATCATTAAGGAACACTATTTCATCGTCTTATCCTATTTAATCTGCAACGTTCAGCTCAAATCTTGAGGGTGTGGGTATGGGTATAGGTATCACACACACAATACACTCACGCCCACATGTCCAGCAAATAATAAACGGGACTTTCCTAGAATATAGTTTCTCAAACTAAAGAAGAATTGATCGATTAGCAACTAAAAAGGTATTATGATTTGTGTGGTATATTACTGACCGATTGATGTTGTTGTTGTTGTTATTGTTGTTGCTGATGTTGTTGATGTTGTTGTTATTGTTGTTGCTGATGTTGTTGATGTTGTTGTTATTGTTGTTGATGTTGTTGATGATGACGACGTTGTTGATGAAGTTGCTGAGGATGCTGTTGTTGTTATTGTTGTTGAAAATGATGATATTGTTGTTGTTGACGTTGTTTGTGAAGTCATTGAGGATGTTGTTGTTGTTGATGTTGTTTGTGAAGTCATTGAGGATGTTGTTGTTGATGGCGTTGTTATCAATGTTGTAGACGATGATGATGATGATGATGATAATGTTGTTGTCGACATTTCTGTTTTTTTTATTGCTGTTGTTTGTGTTATAGGTTCTTTTGTTGTCGTTGAGGATTCAATTTCACTCTTCTCTCCATTTGACATAGTCACATTATGAAATGATGCTTGTTTTCTTTGATCTTCTGTTAATTTAACATTCGATAAATCACTGTTTAAAAACTTTGCACCTGTCAGATCTGAGTTTCCAAAATCTACTCCTGATAGATTTACACCATTAAAACTAGCACAAACTAAAGATGAACCATCAAATTTCACGCTATCTAACCGTCCTCCATCAAATGATACACCATTTAAACTAACAGATGAAAACTCAGCATTTGTCATTGAGACATGATCAAAAGAAACACATTGTAAATTCAGCTTATTTAATGCACCTGTTTGACTTGCTAGATGCACATTATCAAAGTTTAACTCATTCAAACGAATTATATCATCTAAATTTGTTGTTTTACATCCATCAGTACAATTATTTCTACCAATTAATTGTTGTTCTTTAAGAAATTGTAAAACGTCTCCTTTACGTACTGTATCCCATTGACGATGTGCAGCACGATAATATGCATTCGCAAATGCCCATGGATTTTTTGTGTCGTTTAGATAACCATCTTTATCCAGTTTATAGATATTATTTAAAAACTCATCATAAAGTGCTCGTTGTCTTAATTTTTCAGCTTGTTCCAAATCAAACTGTCGTGTTTTTTCAGCTTCCTTTTTTTGTTGCTGATGCCCAATTGAAGTATAAATAGCCAGCGCTATGGGTATAGCAGCTGAACATAGAATCGTTAATAAGTCTTTAAGTGAAAAATGCCAAAAAATTCGTTTGGTAATATCGACCATTGTCGCAATCTGATTTCAAAATGAACAATAGAATATTGTGATGTACTCGGATATAAAGAAAACACAAATGCTATGCTAATAACTAATCTTTCTGTCTTTTGCCGTTTCTTTGTTATCTAACAAGATATTAAATAACAGTTTTAATTATATTTTCAAAACTGAATGTTACAAAAAAAATAAAAGAAATAAGTAAGTATTAATTATAGGTATAACAATAATTAGAAAAAAAGTTTCTTGTTACTTTTAGTATACTGAACGTTGAATTTGATATAGGATAGCAAGAATGTATAAATACCGGTAAATGAAGATGCCTAGAGACGATAAAAGAAGAAAACTAATACTGTTGATATAAATATCGGAGATTTCTTCGTATACCTACATACAATACAAAATCAAAGAAGTTAATTAATTCTTCGAAATGATGAAAATGTATTTTGCCAGTAAACTGTGAAATGATCTGGTCATATCCATTTCGAAGTTCATAAAAAAAAGAAAATGGATATTCTAGACTTCATAAATCAGTTTTAGTCAAACTCTATACTCGATACGAACAGTTCTGAATAAATGTTTTTCTTTGAGATTTTTTATATAAAAATCTTTGATATGTATAAATTAATCTTGAAGTGTAGTAGAAACAGTTGAATAACTAGTTCAAGTTATTTAAATTTATTCCTCATCAAAATTAAGAAAATGAATGCAAGCAAAAAATATCTGTTATGTGGTATAGTAAACTTTAAAAATACTTTAGGAGTGTTTTGTGTGTTTACTTAACTACTTATTCAATAAATTTCTTGAAAAATATATTAATATCTGTTACATGTAATTTTATTACAACTCAAAGTGAAAATATTATTAAAAAAAATGAATGAGCAAAACCAACTATTTTGAAACACTATCGAATAAAAATAAACAAAGAAATGTTATGGTTTAATGTCTTTATATATCTAAAGATGAATATATTATGAATGTAACTATTATCATTAATATTCATTAATCATGAACACAAATCCATACTCAAAAAAAGTCATCAAACATAATTTTATTTTTTCAGTAATGTTAAATATTGAAATTTTGTTGACATTTATATGAAATAAACAATATATCGACAATGTTCTTAAATTAATCATCGAGGCAGTATTCATTTATAAGCTTCTTTGAATTTACTGTTTCATTCTTATTTCTTTTGCTTAACAGTTATGTTCTCTCTCGAGGGTGTGGATGGGTATGAGCGTGGGTAAATAAAAGATGAATCCACACCCACATTCTCATACATCCTCAAGAGCTTTGATCTTTTATTTTTAATACTGTTTTCCACTATTGTCGTTTGACAACAAACGAAATATGAAAATACAACTACATGTACAATCGATTGTTTAATTTTCTTTTTTATATCTGAGCATCTTCAACTAAATAATTCGTTTAAAACATTTATGAAGCACGTTCGTCGTCTTTTCATATAATAATTTACAAACATACTACATCTACATCAAGAGAATTGGTCGACTGTCACGACCATGTCCTGATTTTCGAGAAGTTATGAAAAATAGCAATGTTATTCGCGTGGTTGGGGATTTGGAAATTATCTAATTTCTATGAAATTTAGCTGGTTTTATATGGCGACTTTGACAGTTGTTTTAGCAAGTCTAGAACTAAAACAAAAAGGTTCTCAACTACCATCCTATGATCGAGGTATATATATCTGGTTTCTTGTTATCAATTCATTGGTTTTTTTGACTATTCCATGTGTATGCTGTTATCTAGGTTTCGTCATTTACATTATTTTTCTAAGAAGCAAGTGTCTTAATAGCGTTTTT